CACCCCCCGTCCCTCTCTCCCCCTCTCTCACCCCCCGTCCCTCTCTCAACCCCCCCTCCCTCACACACCCTCAACCCCCTCTCCCTCCTTCGCCCTACCCCCATTTTGGTTAGGCTACTGTTTGCCCCACATCCTATTTGCCACTTCAGGCAGCCACAATGTTAACCAACAAAACTAGATTGTTTTTTGCTTGGCATACTTCCAGAGCATTCCAAGCTTCTGTCATTTACCACTTTACTTTCAGTAGCAGAGTGTGTATGTATGCATGTATGTATGTGTATGTTTATGTGCCTGTGATCACTTAGTAATTCCCTTGCTTTCTTTTGAATTTAGCAATGTATTTAAAAGTAAGTTTGGGGCACCTGGGTGGCTCAGTTGGTTGAGCGGCCAACTTCGGCTCAGGTCATGATCTCACGGTCCGTGAGTTCGAGCCCCACATCGGGCTCTCAGAGCCTGGAGCCTGTTTCAGATTCTGTGTCTCCCTCTCTCTGACCCTCCTCCATTCATGCTCTGTCTCTCTCTGTCTCAAAAACAAATAAACATTAAAAAAAATTTTTTTTTAAGTAAGTTTAGAAATAATGCCAGTGAAAATGCCAAAATAGGGATCTCCAAAAATTCTTCCTTTATAAAATTACCAAGAATACTGGCAAAAATGATCAGAATCACCTTTTTCAGAACTCTAGAAATTAATCAAAGGCTTTCAGCAATCTGGGGAGCATTTATTTAAGAACATAGGCTGTATTTTGGTAAGAATCATGAACTTTGTGGTATTCTAACTTGCACCATTCCCGTCACACTCTCCTCAGCTCTGTGGCAGCCTTGAAGACCAACATCCTGCAATCATGGAATAAACCAGCCACCTGAGGGCCAATGGAGGGGACAGAATGGGGTTAGAACTCCTTCAAAGGTCTATTCCCAGATAATGTCCTTATTTGATCTATCTAGTGGGTCCCGGCAAGACCCCACTCACAAGACTGTCTTCATTTTGCTTCACTTGGAGCTCCCCCAGCCTTTGCCCTGGGGACATTGGTTGAAGATAGTCAGTCAAAGACAACTGTTGAACATCATGGCTGCCTGAGGTACAGATAATAGTTGAGGCAAAAGAAAAAGTTGTGTTATGAGCTATCCATAGGGAGCTTTGAAAAGTTGAAACCTATTCCTGGGACTCTAGAAGACCACCTGCATATCTAAGGCTGTACACGTGTCTAGGATTTTGCAAACTTAAAGACCTGGAAAGACCTAAAGCTCTCCTCTCTGACCAAACTTGAGGCTCTGCACATAGAAGGAAATGTAGGTTATGGTGGGGTTGTAATCTGCCTGGCTGTGTGAAAAACATGCTCAAGCATGTACATGAAACTCCTTTGTCTCTACTAAGAGACTTACTGGTTCCAGGCATCTGAGGGAATCTCTGTCCTTTTATTAGCTGATCATTATGCTAATCAAGCTGACTACACAAAATAGAGTGTAGAGAATTCCACACTCTGCAAAGAATGGAGACTTTCCACACTTTCCAAAGAATCGAAAAATTTCCACACTCTGCAAAGAATAGAGACTTTACAGAATTTTGAATTAGAAATTCCTAATTAGAATTCAGAAAAGTCACCAAAAAAACCCAACAATAAACCCTGGGGAAAGGGAAAAATCTGATTTGCAGTTGTTATATTATTTTAAAAGCCCAATCTTCAATAAAATACTAAGACATGAAAAGAAACAAGGGCTGTGACCTTCAGAAGAGTTTCTTTGTCTCTTTTCCATCCTCCTATGTGAGACAGGAAGGCTAGAAGGGGCTAAGGTTGTCTTCTTGGCCTTTCCTTAGATCAGACAAGGCTCTGGTAGTTTCTCTTTAGGCTGGGTCTTTCTCACAGAGAACAGAATGCTCTGGGCATATTTCAAACTGGTCTGGCCTTGAGGTCATCGATGTGACACTGAAGTCAGTGACCATGTTTTATTCATTTTTGTATCTTGCAAACTACTTATAGAAATATTAAATAAATACAACCTTAATCTCATTTCCATGACTTCTACTGTGACTATTTATTCAGCATCAGAACATGTACCAACACAAACTGTCAAACAGATCTTTCTTAATTATTTTTGTGGTAATTTTTATAATTTTCATATAGAAAATTCTAATGTTTCATCTAGCTTTTTAAAACAATTTTAATATTTATTTTTGAGAGATAGACAGACAGCAAGTGGGGGAGGGCAGAGAGAGAGAGAGAGACAGAGACAGAGAGAGACACAGAATCTGAAGCAGGCTCCAGGCTCTGAGCTGTCAGCACAGAGCATGATGTGGGGCTCGAACTCACGAACCTTGAGATCATGACCTGAGCCAAAGTCGGCTGTTTAACCGACTGAGCCACCCAGGCTCTCCTCATCTAGAGTTTTAAAACTTTCTATATTTGTTTTTGTTTTTTGGCATTTGTTTCCACCTTCTCAGATTTACTCTACCAGGAAAATGGGTGTATTTTAAATTCACAAATAATATTTGATTGTTTCTTCTGAATCCCATGAAATGATAGTTTGTGGAAATAATTTTTGTCCTGGGTCCTGTGTCAACCTTGCATATTTTAGTCAAATTTTATATTAGAAAACATTTAGCTCTTTGATCATTCTCTTTCTTGCAAAATAAAAAGTATAAGGTGAGACAATCTTCTCTGAGATTATTATCCTGGGATCTTTGATCTTGGTACCCCCATCTTTAAGGAGAACAGCATCTGTTTTTAAGACTCTATAGCCTAGAACCAAGTTCACTGTATTCCCCACCGTACTACTACAATCTCAGAACTACCTGGAATCAGTGTGGAACCAAGTTCATTGTATTCCCCACTCTTCTACACTCACAGGACCACTTGGAATCTGTTGTTTGGGGTTGCCATGGACACGGAGTTCTTATTCCAGTACTAGCTTGTTACCAGCACCAGGTAAAGACCTAAGGGTGGGAGGGTGTCTCTGGACAAAGGCATCCCATCCTCTGCCTTCTATGTTGGCTAATGTTGTCCTTCATCCTCAAAGACAGAAGAATGTCTTGGAGGGCTGAAGGTGGGGGGAAAGGGGCAGGTGGGGGTCTTTGTGGCCATAGATGGCAAGTTTTGCCTTATGCTCAGCAGTGGGGGATTAATAAATGTTCACTTCTTCCCAGAGACCTTCCAGAAAGAACCTCCTCATCCCCAGGGAACCAGAGGTGGAGGGGATGTGAGATGGTGATGTGTGGGCAGGGATGGGGGTGTACTAGGCCAATATAGGACCAAAAAGCAGTAACCTTGTTGCTGGCCAGGAATTGGGACAAGATTTGACTTAACGGGCTTGGTCTGGGGAAATTAAAAATTTTTTAAAAGAAAAAGAAGTTAAAGGCAGTATCCAGGAAAGAATACTGATAATAGGATCTTGAGTAATATTTGCTTCCACTTAGGAAAAGTTGTATTCAAGTCCCAAGATCTGAGTCCTTCTGTGCTCCACCTCCCTTCTGCTGTGGCCCCTTGAAAGCAGCCCTACCTGTAGGTAAGCAGATCTGAGGTTTGCAGGGACAGAGGATCCTTAGATACGTGGCTCTGTCTTGGTCCACATTGGTTTTCCTGGCCACCTCTGGAAAAGAACTTTGGGATTCCTACTCCCACTGTCCATGAGGTGATACCTCTTGAAGATACAGCATTTACAGGTGGCTTGCTCTCAAGCCCAAAACTCAAAATAAAAACTTATGCCCCAATTGATTTATTTATGAAAAAAGTATTTTTCAGTTTGTTTTCATTTTTTTGCTCTTTGCCAAGAATTTAGGGCCTTGTGGCACATTTCAGTCTGCCTATTTGGTAACTTGGAAATGTAATTGGCAATGTCTTATTCTCCAGTGACTTCCAGTTCCCTTGCATGCCACGAATTTGTTATGTGAAATGTTGAAGGACATATCTTTGCTTTACCACTCCTTTGATTTATGCTATGGAATGTTTCAAGATGGAAATATCATAAATCACTATGATGATGTAAATTTGGTTTGAAATTCATTTTATTTCACTTGCCGGGTCCTATGTAGCAAGAGAGCAGTCTTTATTTATTTATTTATTTATTTATTTATTTATTTAAAAAAAATTTTTTTTTCAACGTTTATTTATTTTTGAGACAGAGAGAGACAGAGCATGAACGGGGGAGGGGCAGAGAGAGAGGGAGACACAGAATCGGAAACAGGCTCCAGGCTGTGAACCATCAGCCCAAAGCCTGACGCGGGGCTCGAACTCACGGACCGCGAGATCGTGACCTGGCTGAAGTCGGACGCTTAACCGACTGCGCCACCCAGGCGCCCCAAGAGAGCAGTCTTTAAAGTATTCTGTCTTTGAACTAAACTTAAATTTTATTGAACATTCAAAAAACTTTTTCTTCTATTCCTTGAACTAAAATAAAATACAGAATACATATTTCAGAGGAATGATAAAATTGTACAGTGTTGTAGATCTTATAAGTTGTAGATTCAAGACTTTAGAAAGGCCAATGCATACCTGGTAGGTTCTATGTGTGACTTTCTTCCAAACAGGGCAAGTATCCTATGTATTTTAAAAATCCTGAATATAAAATCATATGTGCTTTTCTTTTCTTTTTTTTTTCAGATTAATTGTAGATTGTGGTTGTCCACAAGACAATACCATGCAGAGATTAAAGAGGAACCCTTTATATCTCTGGTTCATGCATCAAAGAAATAATAAGTAAGTAATAAGATGCAAATTTTACCAAATTTTAAGCACAATTCAAGGTTAATTGAATAGGGAATATATATATATATATATATACCTTCTTTCATAATGAGCGTAAACTATACATAAATGAAATTCGGCAAACTCACAACTTAAAGACACTGTTTTATGCTTACAATTTCCTATACTACTACTGCTTAGACAGTATGCCATTAACAATATGCATATGCCAGTTACAGTCACTTTAAGCTTTCCCTCTAGGACAGCTGGATGCCCTTATGGAGATGCTCTGTCCATGGCTGGTGGGGATGACCATTTTGAGATGATCATTGCAAGGGCTTCCATTGTCCCATTTCAATCAATACTTGAAACACTGTAAATTACCACAGGGAGGGTCACAAATTTTTATTAGCAATGAGTGGCTTATAAATCAGTATGGTGGATATTAGAAACATGACTATTCAAGATCTGTGAATTGGTTAAAATAAATAATAATTGTAACTATCTTGAAGGTTGAGGACCAATTGAAATATTTGTGAAGCATGAGGACAATATCTGGCACTTAGTAAATACCATTTAAATGTTTGTTAGATGAAACATCACTTTTGATATTTTCTTTAATTTGGGGAAATTTATTTTAAAAAAAAAATATATATATATATTTTGTTATCTAGAGTCCAGGTGTTAGAGATCTGTTTTTACCCTTTATATCAACTGGTTTTTCTTTTGTGGTCTCTTCTTTTTTCTGGGGATTTCTCAACCTCCTCTTCCAACTCTGGATTAACTTGCTTTCGACATGTATCCAAATTACTGTTTATGCCATGAAGTGATTCTTTATTTCAACAATTTGACTTTTACATTTAAGATATCCTCTTGGGTTTTTCAATACGATTTCTTATTCTTATTTCATGTTACTAACATCTTCCCTTGTATCTTTAAGTGTATTTCTCATGTTTACTTAAAAATCTTGTTCATGAGAAAGAATGAAATGTGGCCTTCTGTAGCAATGTGGATGGAACTGGAGAGTGTTATGCTAAGTGAAATAAGTCACACAGAGAAAGACAGATATACCATATGTTTTCACTCTTATGTGGATCCTGAGAAACTTAACGGAAGACCATGGGGGAGGGGAAGGAAAAAAAGTTAGGGAGGGAAAACCATAAAAGACTCTTAAAAACTGAGAACAATCTGAGGGTTGATGGGGGGTGGGAGGGAGGGGAGGGTGGGTGATGGGTATTGAGGAGGGCACTTGATGGGATGAGCACTGGGTGTTGTATGGAAACCAACTTGACAATAAATTTCATGTTAAAAAAAAAACCTTGTTCAGTATATTCCAATAGTTCTGTTTCAGATGGTATATGTTGTTCAGTTTGTTGTGTCTCTTTTTCAGTCGTACTCATCAGGTATCTAACTATTTTGATTTGTGAGCTCATATTCCTTGTGGCCATTGAGCCCTCTGACTGGTAAATTGTATTAGGGAAGGACTGAAGATTTTCTTGGGAAAATCTCAATCTGTGGCTGTTGTCTCAGCAAAATTATTAATAACATCCTTTTCACTTTCAAAAGTATCCTGGGTTGGGTGACATTTTATATAGTAACTGTTGTTGAAAGCTAGGACCTAAGGTATGTTTTTCTCAGTAAATTTAACATGAAGGGAGGTGATAGCCTGGGGACAGAGACTCTGCATAATGGTGAAACACTGTGATCCAGGTAATTTCTCTTGTCAAGATATGCTACCTTTAAGGTCTTGGACAAAAGCAGCATTGGAGAAGGCAGACTTCTAGGTTGTTCACCTGGGACTTTTGGAGGTAAAAGGGTGGAAGAGTGAAGGCCCAAGGATTGCTCTTTAGCCCTTCCCTGTTTTCATCAGCTAACCTAATGCCAATGAAAATTTTTTTTATCTTAGAGTGAGAGAAACCATGTGAGTGGGGGAGAGGGATGGGGGGAGGGAGAGAGAGAGACAGAGAGAGAGAAAACCTTAAGCAGTTTCCATGCTCAGTGCAGAGCCCAACAAAGGGCTTGATCCCACAAACCTGGGATCATGACCTGAACAAAATCAAGAATTAGATGCTCAACTGACTGAACTACCCAGGTGCCATAATGCTACCCAAATTTTATCCTAACTACATCTGGGTAGTGGCTTCTGGTTTCTACTGAGAATGGCAGTTATTGTCTCCAAGAAACTCAGAGGAAAAGCAAGAAAAGATCTTAAAAATTTCCCTCCCGCGAAGCCCCTCAAGACTGCCTGTATCAGACTTTTTCCTCAGTCTGTCCACCACAGGAGACAGCTCTCAGTCTTCTGGCTTCTCCCAGGGTTTCTGTTATTGTTAGTTTTTTAAATCCATACTTCAGTTTGACTTCTATAGTTTTGGGAGGAAGACTCTCCTATGGATAGGAATCCAAGATTTCCCAGGAAATTATGGAAATTTAGTACTTTGAGAATCTTGAAGTGTTTTTGAAATTTATGATTTTTTTCCATGTTGTTTGTCACATTGGTATTTTTGGTATAACATTTGGTGAAGAGGGAAGGCTTCCTAAAAACCAGTAATGTTTGTGATATGATGAACATACAGCATGATTTTATGACCTGGACAAATGTAAAGTGCATTTTCAATGTGTCTTATTTTACAGATGAGAAATTTAAATTGTAGAGAAATTAAGTTATCCAAGCCAGTGGTTTGGTGGTGAGGAGTCTTGACTTTGGATAATTTAACCAGATACCTTTTCGTAAAATGAATTGAAAGAAAAAGAAACCATTCTGAATACCTGTTTGTTTGTTTGTTTGTTTGTTTTGAGTGAGAGAGAGAGAGAGAGCATAGGGAAAGGGGGGGAGAGAGAGAGGGAGAGAGAGAGAATCCCAAGCAGGCCCTGCACTGTCAGCACAGATCCCAATGCAGGCTCAATCTCATGTACCATGAGATTATGACCTGAGTTGAAATCAGGAGTCACTTAACCAACTAAGCCACCCAGGTGCCCCATTATTTAGGCAATTCTTGACCTACCTACTAGTTTGTTCTCTACCAAATGGTGATCAGGGACTAGTCCTTGAAACTGGAATATTTATTGTTGTGGCATTTTCTTTATCTCTGTATACTTTCATTAGTTATTATCTGGATCTCCCTCCCCATCCTTTTGCTCAGATCATTCCTATTTCCCAAACTGATTCCAGAATATGTGAATGGTTGACAAAATGGAGAAGGAGGTTTAATCACAAAACTTATACCTCCCCTAATTCTTCCCTTCTCTTTCCAGTGGGCAGACACACGCACAGCCAAGAGGCTATCTTAGAGGCCTCATTGCTGTACCCTGACAATGTTTCTGTCATTTTGTCATGTTTCCTCATGATTTTACTTTTCTTGTCATAAAATTCTGTCATGAAGAAGAAACTGATTGCTTTCCAGAATGTCTGAATTTATTTTTTGTATGTTTTTACCCTTTAGCAGAATTATGGATTCCTCTGACAACAGTGATGACCATGGGTGAGTTGACTTGACTGATCTGAGTGCTGAAAGGTATTAGAGAGCATTGGTGGCAATAAGAGGTTTCCATAAGAGACTGTAAGCTTCTGTAAATAACTGTCTTTCTTTTGGGGTCTAAGTCGGGGGGATAAAAGGAAGAACATGTCAGAAGAGGGAGACTTCCTACTCATAATTTATGACCCTTAGTAACCAGAAGCCAGAGTTTCTTAGGATACTCTCATAATATATGTGTGTGAGACTCTGCTAGAGTAGAGCAGGTAAAGAGAGGATCCTATTATTTGAGCGAGAGGTGGCAGTGGACAGGTAACTGTGGAGCTCTCAGAAAAGGATGGAGCTCATAGACCTTGGTCTGTCCCCTTTCCCTCCAGAGGTTTACAATCATCTGAAGCTGGTGTTTCAGATATAAACCCATCATTATATTTGAGGAAACCCCTGACTCAAGCTTGCAGTTATTTGAACCAAACTCAAGAACAGAAGAGACTTACATGACACACGAAGAGTAAGGATACAGTGAAGAAACTTGATATCAGGAAATAAGCTGAAAGGCTGTATACCTACAAAATGAAGCTATATTTTGAAGTAAATTCCACCTCAGTGCAGTTTCAGGAGAAGTGAATTTAGCAGTAAAGAATTGTACTTGCCTTGATTTGTTAGGTTTTTTTGATTTGTTAAGCCAGAGATTTTCATTACTACTATTAAAAAAAAAAAAACATTTCTAATGGACAAATTCCTGAACACTCACACTCTTCCAAAACTCAATCAGGAGGAAATAGAAAGCTTGAACAGACCCATCACCAGCGAAGAAATTGAATCGGTTATCAAAAATCTCCCAACAAATAAGAGTCCAGGACCAGATGGCTTCCCAGGGGAGTTCTACCAGACGTTTAAAGCAGAGATAATACCTATCCTTCTCAAGCTATTCCAAGAAATAGAAAGGGAAGGAAAACTTCCAGACTCATTCTATGAAGCCAGTATTACTTTGATTCCTAAACCAGACAGAGACCCAGTAAAAAAAGAGAACTACAGGCCAATATCCCTGATGAATATGGATGCCAAAATTCTCAATAAGATACTAGCAAATCGAATTCAACGGCATATAAAAAGAATTGTTCACCATGATCAAGTGGGATTCATTCCTGGGATGCAGGGCTGGTTC